GGGCGTAATGATTACGCCGTCCTTGAGCCTTTTTTTTGTAGCTTAGTCTGATGTTTGCAGCCTTTTTTCTAGAGTGTAGGCTGAGGTTTCAGCGCACTCCCTGGGGGGAAGGCTGAAACCGAGTATATTGTGTTCCGGGGGCCCCCCGCGATTACCGCTGAGTGACAGGTTTACCCCCGTCAATCACGCCGCGTGGCTGCAATGTTGGGCTGTCGGCGTGACATCTGACGCAGATTCCCCTCCACCGTTGCTAGCACACTAGCGACTGCGCATTGTGATTGGGTGTTAGCCAAATTTCAGCTAAGTAAACCAATCGCCAGAGCTTTTTGTGACTCAGCTGCGTAATCGCTGGTACAGCAGTGCAGAAAAGATGCTCCCTCGGAGCGCACACCTGAAGATTCCAGAAGGGGGTACCCCCGCGAACGTTGCATGGGCAGCAGCAGAACCGCACCGCGTTATTGAAGGGGTCGTCTGCTCCAGCGTGTTCTCCATCGCCTGGAAGTAGGGTTGCCTTGGCCCGCAGTGTCATTTCTTCCTCGACGCCTGTTAGTAATGGTTTAGGACCCTGATTCCGCTCCTCTCGTCATGGCGGAATCGGGTGGAGACAACGACGTAGGCGACGACGATGCCTGGCAGGTCGCCGACGAGCGCGAAATGCGCACGGGGCTAGACCTGTTACTGTCGTCCCTCGGTAGTATTCCGTTAGCACCGCCGCTTCCAACACATCTCGATGAACCGAGTTCCAGCCGCCCTCCTTCTTCGCCAGAAGCACGTCGTATCGTGCGACCAGCAAGCCCGTTCTTATCCTCATCTCCCACTCGTCCAGCTTCTGTACTAGATTCTGTAGTGTCGCCGACTGCTGCGAAGCCCACCCCTCGGACTGGCCGTTATCGACAGATATGACTGTCTTTTGCACCTCCGGCGAAAGATTGTGAGCCTGCCGCTTCCGACTCTGACGACGACGAGGAAGAGGAAGAGGTGCCGTCTGCTGGTCGGAAGAGGCTGACGCCAGAAGAAACATATGCCGACGCGTTGGACCGCTTCCAATCCCGCTGGTCTAAGGCCTATCCATGGCTGCTCATCACAAAAACTGACAGCGGCCTGCCCGCTTTCAAGTGCTCTGTGTGCACCGAACATGCAGGTCTCAAGGGGAAAACAGGCAGGAGCGGGCACGGAGCGACCGACGTGCAGGTCCAAGCGTTCAAGAAGCACGCTGTGACTACTCGACATGAGCTCGCGGTGGCCAAGCAAATCGACTTGCTGCAGATGGCGACCAACCAACAACGCATCGACCAACACCCGCTCGCTCAAGACCTGGAGCTGCTTCACGTGTCTTCATTGCTCGACGTGCTCTACTTTTGCAGCCGGTGCAACGAGCCGATGGAGACGTGGATTCGTCTCACGCGATACCTGGCGGAGCGGAAGTACCGCGGCTTTCCAGAGCAAGGCTACGGAACGTACTACAACTCGTAAGTCTCCGACCGTGTTTAGTTTTTATCTACATTCGCGACTTTTTCACGTCCTTATCTCTCTTTTCGTGATACTATGGCAGGTATGGCTTCGGCCAGTTCACACAAGCCCTCGCGACATGGCTCCAGACCACTCAGCTCGAACACCTCCTGGCCAGCCCCTTCATCGGCCTCAGTCTCGATGAGAGCACCGACCGCTGTCGTGGCAAACACATGATTGTGTTTGCCACCTTCATTCGGGAGAACCGTCAAGTGACGGAACTCCTTGCGCTTCTCACAGTTGACAGGGCTGACGCTGCCTCGTTGCTCTCGCTGTTGTTGTCCCACATCCAAGCTATTGGTGTGGATCTACGCCGAATCTCCGGCATCAGTACTGACGGCGCTGCCGTCATGCTCGGGAAGACGCGTGGCCTTGTCGCTCGACTGAGAGTGCTTGTCCCACACCTCGTGTCATGCCACTGCATCGCCCATCGGTAAGTGTTATTGAGGAGTTTCCCGCTTTCGTATACCCGCGAGACGTGTTTTAACACATTCGTTTTGTACTTGCAGGGAGGCGCTGGCGGCCAAGGATGCCGCGGAAGAGATGAAGAGTTTCGGCATCGTCGACGACTTCATCAAAGAGATTGCAGAGTTCCTCGGTCGTTCTGGACCCTGGCATCAACGCTTCAAGGACCTGCAGCAGATGTTCAACGACACCAACCTGGAAGTGCAGGGGATCCACGCCATCCGATGGCTCTCTCGCGGTGAGGCGATCCTCCGTCTTTTGGATGTGCTACCAGCTGTGCTGGTCATGGTCACGGAGCTGAGGAACTCGAAGTTGCTGGCTATTGTTCGGAGCTATCGTTTCTGGTTCTTTTTGCACTTTCTGGCTGATGTTCTTGAGCAGCTCAACATCCTCAACAAGGTGTTCCAGCAGCGGGAGGTGCGTCTTTCTCAAGCACGTGCATATGCTTATCATGTTATCCTGTCTCTTATTTCCCCACCCACCTTTGCCCCGTGAACACCTCTCCTCGCAGCTGGACTACGCGACCGTCGCCAGCCAGATCGCGCAGACTACCGGGTTGCTGGAGAGCCGGTATGTCGACTGCGACGACGACTTTGGCGGTACCGAGATGTCGCGGCTCGGCCAGTTCCTCACCCGTCACGGCCCGAACGGTACTCCAGAAGTCACCGTTGACGGAGTTGCATCTGATGGCCGTCCCGTCCGCATCACCGTAAGTCTCCATTTTGAAGAGATCGACGGCTACCCTGGGGAGGGAACACACGAGGCCTGTGTCGACGACTGCACGGCCTTTGCTGAGGGGCTGGTGAAGGGCTTGGACGAGCGTCTTGGGGACCTGGAACAGCTCGCGGGATGTCGCCTCTTCTCTGCTGACACCTGGCCGCCAAACTGGGAGCGCTCCGCCAGGCAGAAGCAGTGCCTGGAGTGGTTTGACCTGCTGGTGCAGCTCTACAAAGCGGAGGATAGCGAGGAGATTCTGCCAGGTGCTGTCCACCGTCTGAGTTGCTTTGTGTTCCGTCTCCCTTTTTACGCATGTTGAGATTCCTTGGAATATCTTATCTTTCAAACCTCTTAAATTTCCCCGCTCGTCTTTCCCGCCCCCTCCAGGCATTAACAAGAGGAGGGCGGCCAAGGAGATTCGCCACTTCGCTCCCATGCTCGCACGGCTGACCACCGTTGACTGCAAGTTCTATGCCGGCCTCACCGCTGTGCTCAAGACCAGCAACTGGAAGATCCACTACCCCAATCTTGTGGGGTTGTGGGTGGCGGTGGCTGTGCTGCCTCTCAGCACTGTCGAGTGCGAGCGTGGCTTCTCCCGCCAGAACCTGATCAAGAGCTGGCAGCGCGGCAGCCTCAAGGATGCCCGGCTTAGCGATCTCATGGTGATGTCTATGCTAGATTATACCCCGGATTACCCCGCTGTAGTAGAGATCTGGAGGGCGTACAAGAAGAGGAGGCCCCATTCCACCTGTCGGCCCCGTCCCCAGAGCAGGAAGGGCAAGGAGAAGGTGGATGATGATGATGATTGTAGTGACCCCATGGATGATGGGGGGAAACTAGATGCTTATGTAGACGTCGAAGATGAAATGTAATGACTGTCATTAATGAAAGTGGCTTCGTGAAGTTTCAGTGTTTTTTTTTTTAACCAAGGCTGAACATTCAGCGAAACCTTTTTAGTCAAGGCTGTAACATTCAGCCTTTTTTCCCAGGGGGGGGCTGAGAAATCAGCCTAAGTATGGGGGGCAAGGATGATAAATCAGCATGCCTAAAAACGAATCTTGGGGCCTGTTGTAGACCACGCGTAAAGCCTGACTGCAATCCAGCTGCCAACTGGGTGACATTTGTCGGTAACGTCTCAGTGCCATCCTGATGCTGTACGAAAAATGGTCGTTGCCGAAGGTTGCCACTTCCGGATTTTTCGTTGAATCAAGGCCGCGCCGACCCACTGTTGTTGTCCCCTCGCCGAAGTTATCGGAGTGCAACGACACACCAAGGCCCAATCCTCCGAGGTTGTCGGTTTGCACATGAAACAGGGCGCGCCAACGAATTCTTCGCGTCTCTCGCTCCCCGCGCTCTCCCCGTGTACACTTCTGACGCATCACACGTGCGCCTGGCGAACTCCAAAATCTTCTCACCGAGTTGGGCGAGCCTTCGCTTTTTCGCACAACCGCTGACGATGTCTCATGGCGAGCTGCTTGAAGATTTCTCGCCACGTGACGACGACGCCATGTTGCCACACAAAACGAACGAATTAAAAGCATAATTCACCAACTCACGTGGCGAATTAATGCCTGACAGCCACAGCTGTCCGTTCCTGGGGGGAGGGAGGACCCGACCAAATCCTGGGCGTCCAAAGGCAGGGGTCTGGTGACGAGGGAGAGCACACGCCATAGTCAGACGAGCTAACAAATTAGCTCCTAGCCAACCGCTGTGCAGCCCCGCAGCCCACCAGCCATCCCTCCTCCCCCCCCCCCCCACCCCCCAAAGAAAATTTATCGGCCAGGCGGAAGCTACTGCACGAGGAAAGTGGCTATGAATACCAAGTGTTATGAGTGGGAATGGGACAATTGACTCATTAATCGAAATACAACATAGAAATAATAGTTGATTGAGAAAGTGACGAGCGAACTGGCTAAAATAGGGCTCGTACGTGCTAGGGCGAGAACCTCGGGACGTGAGGTGGCTCTTGAAGGGTGGCAAGGGTGTCGGCATGGGACTCGGAAAGGTTTGGGCCGACAATCGAGGCCGAACCTGCGAGGTCGAGGTTTTCGGGGGTACGCGCTGTAATTTAGCGCAGCAAGGAATTGTAATTCCTTGCATCTGTCGTGGGCAATCACACTGAGCAGCCACCTCACACCAGTGACGGCCCGGATCGAGCCAGTTCGTCTGGTTACAAGGTAGCCAGCGCTCCGCCAACAGCTTTCGCCGCCGCGAGGAAACACACGACACGTTCGTGTGGTTCTTGGTTCCTGAACTGAACGAACTCCGCCTAGCAGTCACCCACCCACACTGGTCTGGTCACTTCTAGATCACCATCACTTCAAAAATCGCTAGTGCAAGCACCAGGCGATCAATACAGTAGTTAGTCCACCCCGCGTTTTCCGCGTCACTCAGAATTCGCAACATAGATAGTCCTGAGCACACTTCCCAGCATACGTAGCTGCTCGTCAGTCGCTCGTTTAGCCACTCCCTGCCTCGAAACCTAGACCGCTATTCAACATGCTGTACCAGCACCGGCGGCAACCTATCGTCCGGATCCCGGGACTAACCGCTCGCGTGAAGTCCGCTTGACCCGACCAGTGGCTTCCTGGAATGGATCGACATTCGGCGCATTGCGCGAAATCATTGCACTGCGCCGACTCGGCGCGTTTTGGCGTCGCTTCAGCCAGAGGCTCGCCGTTACGTCGGTCTATCCGCGCACGTCGTTGGTCCCTTCTGCCTCGCCTCGACCTCGGCACTCCCACTACCCGTTTTCGAGGCGAATCCACCCGTACTCTTCAACCTTCTGGCACCGTGTACCTAAAATCACCGTCTCATCATTCACCGCGGCAACAATCTCGATACCGGAAAATATCTCACGACCGATTTCACGGAGGATCCCGCGACAGGTATCGACGGAGATATGCTGTCGTGGCGGTTTCTGACCACTTGTGTCTTGCCACGTGGACCGTGCTGTGCTGCCTCGTGGCCTCGCCATGGATCGCGGGGGTCTCGGCGAGCAGCGGCGGCGCGATGCGCCACGTCAGCAGCGATCGAATGGCCATGGAACGCGCTAAGAAGCTCTTCGAGGTATCGTATAGTTCGTCCAGCGACAGACCCGTCCGGCGATAGTTCGTCTGGGAAAGGTTCGTCTGGCGATAGGCTTCTGAAAGGCCTTTTTTTTTTTCTTTTTTTTTTTTTTTGCGCCGACAAGTCGCGTTTCGATGGCTCTTCCCCTCCCTTCCCCTCCCCTCAGTCTTCCCCCATTCCTCTCACCCTCCATCGCGTCTTCCCCCTCCCTTCCTATACTACCCATCTCCTCCCTCCCCCCCCTCTCCCCCCTTCTTCCCCCCTCTCCCCCTCCCCCCCCCCCCACGCGCCCCCCCCCCCCGCCCACCCCTTCTCCTCGTCCCCTTTTCCGCTTCCCGCTCCCCCTTCCCCCTAAAGGACTGGGAGTCCGCCTATGGGCTAGCCAACGGCTCCCTCTCCCCTGCCCCCGCGCTCGGCTTCCCCCCGGGCGTGCCCCCCGCGCCCCACCTGGAGGACTGCGCGCGGCGCACGGCTGCCCGCGCGCGCGCGGAGGAGAGGGGACCAAACGGAGAGGCGCCCGCGTGGGCGCGCGCGGGGGAGTGCTGCCAGTGCAGAGCGGACGTGCCCCCCGCCAACTGCACTCCGCAAACGCCCTGGGTAGGCTTTTCTCGGAAGGGGTGGGGTGGGGGGGTGGGGGGATTTGAAGATGAGGGGAGGAGGAGTATGGGAAAATTAGGAGAGGAGGAAGAGGCAACCATTTCTGGTCAGGTCAGGTCAGGTCAGGTCAGGTCAGGTCAGGTCAGGTCAGGTCAGGTCAGGTCAGGTCAGTGTTGCTCCTCCACCTTCCAGCAACCAGCAGTTTCTCCACCCACCCCTATACCCTCTCCCCTCTTCCCTCCGCCCTCTCTTCCCTCCCCCTTCTTCTTCCCCATCCCTTCACTTAATCCCTTCCCCAATCCCCTCCTCCAAACCCCCTTTTCCCCTTTGCCCCCCTCGCCGCTCCCCCCTCTCTAGATCCGTGGTCCCGACGCAGCGAGCTTCGCCCTGACACGCGTGGCGCAGAGGGACATCTGGGCGAACCAGTTCCCCGCCCCCTCCGACTGCAACAGGCGCCGCCTGGTGCTGACGCACTGGCCGGGGCTGCACCACGGGCTGGGGTCGCAGCTGCACATCATGTCGTCCTTCCTCAGCCTCGCCGTGCGCTTCAACCGCACCCTCGTGGTCAAGCCCGAGAGCTTCAACCGCGCCACTCAGGCCTGCCGCGGTAAGTGCAGGGGGGGTGTTTTGTGTGTGTGGGAGCGGGGAGAGGGGGGGGGAGGGGTGAGGGGGGAGGCTGTGTGCACCACGGGCTAAGCACCTGACTACATTGAGCATTTCTCAAACACCTTGAAACCCTTGAACGCAGCTTAAAGGCAACCCCCCCCGATTCCAGCCCCCCCACTCCGAACCATTGTCCCCTCTCTTTCTCCCCCTCGCTTCCTTCCGTCCTTCCCTTTTCCCACCCCCTCCGGTTCCCTCCCCACTCACTCCCCTCGCCCCCCCGTCAGACCTGGCCATAGGCAACAACTTTGAGTGCTTTTTCTTCCCCCTGGGCGCCCCCGCGTGCCTGAAGCTGGCCCTAGAGGCGGAGGCGAGGGGCGAGGTGGTGAACAGCGACGGCATGAAGAACGAGGAGCGGGAGCAGGTGCTGGGGTCAGACACTCCCGTGGTGCAGGTGGCCAATACCGGGCTGTTCCCTGAAGTGGGCGCTACGGAGTGAGTGAGTGGGGGGGGGGGGGGAGGGAGAGGAGGGGGGCGAGGAGAGGTGAGAGAAGTTAGGGTGGGCGGGAAGGGAAGTTGGGGGGGAAAGAAGTGGGGTTTCGGGTGCGGGGGGTTGAGGGGAGGGTGGGGAGGGAAGGAGGTAAAGTGGCAGAGGACCCTGTGCATGGAAAAGCGGCAGTGGCAATGGGGGGACAGAGTAGCACGAGGAGGGAACTCCTTGTCTGTCCCATGTCCCATGTCCCGTGTCCTGTGCATTACAACGACGACCCATGCGCGCTGTCCCTTCCCCTGTCTCATCTCATCTGAGGTGACTTTTTAGTTGACTCATAAGTGTTGTGTGACATTGTAATGAGGTGACTTTTGAGTCGACTCAAAAGTCACATTGTCCCCTCCCCTGTCTCATCTCATCTGCTCTCTGTGTGCGTGTCTCTGCGTGCTTCTTTCTCCTGTTCTGTTCGCATCTGTGCATCTGCGTGTTTTCTAGAATTATGAAAAACCCTCACTCTCTGCGTGTGTGTGTCTGTGCATCTCATCCGCCCCCCTGTGGGCGTGTTGCTGTTGCCCCCCATCAGCCTGTGGGGCGTGCCCTCTCTCGACCGCCCATTCACAATAGAGCAGCTGGGGAAGGTGCAAGGCCAGTACCTCTCCTGGGGCCAGGTCAGTACCTGCTGATTTGACACGTCTCAAAACTGAACTATTTGCTGGCCCTTCCCGTCCGCCACATCGAACGTTGCCTTTTCTCTGTTCTGCTCATCTCGCTCCCACTGCTGCTCGGTACTCTCAGTCATGCTCTCCCCCAGCTGTTTCTTCTCTCCCGTCCTCATCCTCTCTCAACTCAACCCGTTTACCCCTATCATGCACCTCCTCGTCCACCTCCCCCTTCCCCCCCCTCTCTCTCTCTCCCTTTGTGCAGGCGCGCTGGTGGCGGGCCCAGTCGCTCCGCTTCATGCTGCGCTGGCCCTCTGCATACCTCTGCCACGTCATCAACCGCGTGCGCCACTCCGCCTACGGTCTCCTGGTAGCAGACCGGGTGGCATCCGTTGTCCTGAAGCAGGCAGAGCTCGTACAAGCACTCAACGCCTCTGCTACCAACTCTCCACCTCCACCAACCCCTCAAGACCCCACCCACCCTCCCATTGACTTGGCCGATGACGTGCGCTTCCTCTCCTCTTCTCCCATCTCCGCCCCTTCCTCCACCCCCTCCTCCTCCCTACTCCTCTCCCCACCTCCCTCTGCCGCTCCTCCCCCCTTCTCTCCCTCCCCTCCATCCCTCGCCTCGCATATCTGGTCGCATCAGGGCCTGGCCGGCTGCAGCACCTGCAGCGCCGCCAGCACGTCCCAACCCACATCACCACCATCACCAGCATCATCCCCATCACGAGGAGCATGCACATGGGCGGCGAGTGCGAGTGTGTACGAGGAGGTGGGGGCACCACCGTTCATGCTGCGGCCGGTGATCAGCATGCACGTGCGGCAGGGCGACAAGGGCATCGAGATGTCGCTGCACTCGCTCGCCAGCTTCATCTTCTTCGCGTACCGCCTGCGCCGCCACAAGCCCGACCTGCAGTACATCTGGCTCAGCAGCGAGATGGAGGTGCGGCACTGGGTATTTTTGTTTATATGTTTGTTAATAATATGTATATACATACAAAAAAAACGGCCCTGGTACTTGTGTTCCCTGATCCTGCTCTTCTTTCCTGTACCCTTTCTTTATCTTGCCTCCGATCTCAAGACCTGTGCCTAACTTCCTGCCTGCTTCTCACACCTCAGGTTACCATCCTCCTCATGATCACCCCCTCCTCCCACCACTCCTGTTCTCTCTCTCCCCTTGCTTCCCTCTAGCCCCTTCTCGCTATCTTTCTCTCTCTAATCGCCACCCTACACTTGGTCGTGGCAAGCAAGCACCAGAGTTCTTCCCTGACTGCACCTTCCTGTGTGCCGAAACACCATCCTAGCCACAACCATCCTCCTCTCTCACTTTCACCCATCATTACACTCTCTCCTTCCCCTTTCCTTCTACTTGCCCCTTCTCTCTCCCCCCCTCCTTACAGTCAGTTGCAGCGGAGTCCTTCCCAACTGGTCAATCCTGTATGCCGATTCCCCCCTCCTTCCCCTCCCCCACCCCCGTTCTCCTCCTCCCCCACACCCCCCCCCCCTCCCCCTCCCCCCTGCAGTCCGTGATGGCAGCAGCGGAGTCGTTCCCCGACTGGACCCTCCTCTATGCCAGCAGCGACTAATTAGTTTCCGTGTGCCCTCTTGTGCCCCACATCCCCCGCTCATTTCTCCCCCCCGCCCCCCGGCCACCCCCTGCATTCCGTGATGGCAGCAACGGAGTCGTTCCCCGACTGGACCTTCCTTCCTCTACGCCAGCAGCAGCAGGGCGACGGACGTGGAGCAGATGAAGCAGCAGCATGAGGCGCCTCGTGACTTGCCACTCTTTCCCCCCTTTCGCCCCCCCCCCAGAGTGTCGTGACAGGCGCGGAGTCATTCCTCGACTGGACCTTCCTGTATGCTGATTCACCAGTACCCCCACTCCCCCCTCCCCAACCCCCATCCTCTTCCCTCCCCACAAACCCCCTCCCCTCCCTCCCCCCCCCCCCCGGTCCAGTCCGTGATGGCAGCAGCGGAGTCGTTCCCGGACTGGACCTTCCTGTACGCCAGCAGCAGCAGGGCGACGGACGTGGAGCAGATGAAGCAGCAGCAGTTCTCGGGGCAGCAGCCCGTGGCAGAGATCTTCGCGAGCCTGCTCATCACATCCGAGAGTGACTATTTTATCGGGTCGCTGGGGTCCAATTGGAACAGGGTGATTGATGAGCTCAGGTCCACTAATGGGAGGCTGTTTGGGGGGATGGTCACTTTGACGCACGGGGTTTAGGTTACGGTCTGGTGCTGGCTTTTACTGGACTGGATGTTGCAACAGTTGGTATGGAAATGAGAGGCTGAAGATTTATCTTCTTCCGCCTTCCCAAGGCATGCACGTTTCTATGGTCGCCTCCTGTTGGAAGGATTTGGAAGCCAAATGCTGCAGCATGAAGCATAGTAACTTCAAATGAAATTTCCGTATCATATTTACATAAGCAATGTTGGAAATATCTCAAGGACTTAAGCGTTTCTGAAGTGTAACACTGTACTCGAGGAAGATTACAGGGGAGCACGCGAGTCAACGGAGGTTACACGAGGGGGCGGACAAAGAATGCGAAAGGACTCGAAAGGTCGCAACTGGAGGTTGCGACTGACCGTTACAACATCACGGATGGTAACCGAAGCGGCAATCGAGTCGCTGTGCGACTCGATAAACCGTTCCTGTAACTGTATTCTACAACTGCTTCCTTATCTTCTATATATTGCTGTATGCTTGTTTCTTTAATCAATCACTTGTTCTCACATACTAGTACAAGGGTTCAACTGCCTCAACTTCCGCTGCACTACTCCAAGTCTCAAGTCTTTACAGCTGGGACTTAATCTCTGCAAAAGATCCTAAAGGGTTTTTCTCAGCCCAACATGGTATGAGAGCTGGTCAGAGACCAAACTCCCAGCAACTACGTCCTATCAACAACCTGCAACTCAACTCAATTCAACGACTTCATTGATTACAAGACATGGACAACAAGGGCAAGAAAGTCTCTACGGGCTCACCCAGCGCCCAAGAAACTCAACACGGCAACTCTGGTCTGCACACCTCAGGACTGCAGACAGAGACCGGGACTGCTCAAGAAACAACGGGAAGAGTACCAGAGATGGTGACCCCGTCTCCCTCTTCAAGTGTGGACCCGAATCTCATGGAGAGATTCTTCAGCTTCATGTCACACTTCGATCAGCAGCAGCAGACAAGGACACCTGCGCACTCAACACAGAGCAATGGAGGGAATATGGGATTAGCGCCGATGAGCCTCGACAACTCATCCTTCGGGCGACACAATCAAGCGCCTACCTTTGCGCCTTATCATTCTTCGCCGGGGACGTTCGAATTCATGCCGCCCCGTGCCCAGCCAACAGCAGCTGCTTCACAACAAACACCGAATGAAATCTTAAGTTTACAGGCGCAGTTCTCACACGTGATCAAACTTCAGACATCCTCACCGTTCAACGGACACGACTTCTTTACCTGGAGCTTCGAGTTCGAGCTGCTGATGGAGGCCGCGCATCTTCTGGGATACTTCAACGGGTCCCTGCCATTCCCAAGCAACGGCACTGGGAAGGAACAAGAGATCTTCACGTATCAGTCGCTGCTGGCGTACACGGTACTCCTGAGAAACCTGTCACCACAAGAGCAGCAGAGCATCAGAACGTATCGGAGTTATGGAAACTCCGCGGAGCTCGCATGGCACCACCTCAAATGCCTTTACCAAGCAAACGACAGCGTGACACAAAGCAGACTCATGCAACAGCTGACAACAATACAGATGAAGACCGGGGAAAAGGCGATGCAGTATATGAGTCGCTGCCAAACCCTCCGCGACCGCCTGCTTCGGTGCGGAGGAACGATCACTGAAGAAAGCTTCGTGACACTTGTCCTCGCCGGGCTCGGGCCAGAATGGAGAACCACACGATCACTTCTTCGAGCCCACGGAAGAATTTCGGAGATGCACCTCTGCGCCGAGCTTCACGCTGAACAACAGGAGATGGATCTGTTCGAGGAAAGACAACCAAGGAAGCAACAGCAGTTAGTCTTCTACACTCAAAGAAGAAATGACAACAACTACAACCGACGCAGCAAGCAAGATCAACGCGACAACCGAGGACTCACCATCGTGCCGCCGTTCTGCCACAACTGTCAGACTTCCGGGCACTCCAAGGTCAACTGCAACCGCCCTCGCGTTTACCGTGCAGCAGACCCACAAGTCGCTTCCACTCAAGCAAGTCCTCCAAGGCGCTCTTCAACATCTGCACAACAAACACCCAACATCATCAACTGCATGGTACACATCGACAACTGCGCACCCGCTTCACCACCCACTTACGCACCAGACGAAGAGGAATTCCCGCCGCCGCGCTCGCAAGGACTTCAGGTCAACCCGACATACGCTGCAGTCGCTAACGCCGAACCCACCGGGCGGAACACCTGGTTCTTGGACAGTTGCTGCGGTCAGCACATGTGCTCCTCCGGACGCTTCGTACAACACGAGCGACGCCTCAACCGCGACGTCGTCATCACCGTCGCCAACAACGAAAACCTGAAAACAAATAGACAAGGCGTGGTTCAGTTACAATCAATGGAGACAAACGTTATTCTTCAGCTCAACAAGGTCCTCATCGTCGACAATCTGGGATACAACCTATTAAGCGTAAGCCAACTAATGGCTAAGGGGATTCACCTGGAGTGCGACTCCTTCTCCAACGAGTTCCGACTTTACCACGGGAAGGGCGGTCTCTTCATCGGTCGTGCCCTCCTGAAGTCCGGTGTCTTCGTGTTGGACTTCGTCCCCGACCGCGGAACTGCCGACAGCGACGGTATCGTATCCTTCGCCGCCTGGACTCATCCGCCAGATCTTGATCCCGACTTCGACAGCGACGGCTTCTGGCACTCCAACACCATACCTGCAGCAGAAAGAACACGAGCATTAGCAGTTATCAGACAAGAAAGACAAGTACCCGCATGTGTCCCAACAAAACCATCACCTGCAGTATCGGCAGCAGGACCCAGCCGAGTACCACCACCAGCGACACGAGGACAGCCAACCGAAGCAGACCAACTTATGCCCGCCACACGAGAAGCTTGTCGAAGTCCCGCCTCGGTCGTCGCGTTCTTCTCCAACGCCGACATCTACCACCGCTCGCCCGGTCACCGCGCTCCCGACGACATCTGGCACCAACGTCTCGGACATCCTGCAAACAGCACGATACTACAAACAATACAAGCAGAGGTGTTAGAACGTAACGCCCTTCTAACGACGAGCGGCCAAGAACTTCGCCGACCAAGAGCACGATGCTTCACGTGCCCCGAAGCAGATCTTCCTCATCAACCTTTCCCAGCCCATCACAATCCAAGCGCACCCACTTACGCTCCGATGGAAAAGGTCTACAGCGATATTCTAAACATGCCTCGAGACGACACCGAAGCCGACTTCAACTACGTCATCACGTTCATCGACGCCGCAACCAGATACGTCTGGCACTTCAATCTCAAAACGCGCGATCAAGCCTTCGAGGCCTTCACCACATGGCTTCCAATCGCCGAACGAGAGTCAGGAACCAAACTCAAGAGTTTCCAGTCAGACGGTGCACTGGAATACCAGTCACAACGCTTCAGGACCTATCTCGCGGAAAGGGGAATCCGACGCCTGGTGTCTCTGCCCTATGCTCACCAGCAGCAGGGGGTAGCAGAACGCATGAACCGGACCTTGCAGACGACGATGCGAAAACTGCTTCTGGGGATGAGGCTGCCCAATACACTGTGGCCAGACGCGATGACACATGCAGTCCACCTGCACAACCTGTTGTCCTCGTCATCGCTCCCCAACAACGCATCACCGCACCTGCTGTGGACGGGAAAAAGGGGCAGCACAAAATTACTTCGAGTTTTCGGCTGCATGGTACAATACAGACCCCACACAGCTCGAGCAGGACGCTTCACTCAACGAGCTCGGTGGGGACTACACCTCGGCATCGCCAAACATTTTCACGCGTGGAAGATTCTCGACATACACGACAAAAATACGGTGGCATCACGTGATGTTATCTTCTACGAGCGACTGACGCTGCAGCATTACCTGGACAACATTGCCAACTCAGACGACCCCACCGACGGCTTCGCGGGCCTTCGCTCCTTCGCTGACCATGCTGCCGAGGCTGACGCAGCAGAAGAAGACGTCCCTGGAGCCTCGGAGGCTGCCGGACCACTCCCCTACTGCTCCGTACCTGTTCCACTCGATGAAGATAATCCTCTCGATAGCAACAACCTCGACACCTTTTACCACTTCGCTGACCAAGGCTACGCTACACCACACCCCGTCGACTCGAATATTTCCGAACGCATCGGGCCAAACTTCTTACCCGATCCTGAAGACGGTGATGAAGCAGCTTATCCCGAGAATGAAAACTCCCCTCGACACACAGCCACGGGACTGCAGATCCTAGGACTATGGGTCTCCGTCCAGCACCCGCCGCCGCCTTCTCCGCGCGAGCCGTCGACCCTGTCGCAGGCTCTGGGGGGGGAACATAAGGCACAATGGAAGGAAGCGATGGAAAAAGAGTTAAAAGCTCTGCAAGACCGAGAAACATGGAAACTGGTACCTGCAACGAGCATCAACGGGAAGAACATTCTCTCGGGGAAATGGGTGTACCGCATCAAGACCAACTCAGACGGCTCCATCGAACGATTCAAAGCTCGATGGGTCGTACGAGGCTTCGATCAACGATACGGAACCGACTACACAGAAACCTTCGCTCCAGTCTCCCGTCACACCTCTCTGCGCATCCTACTCGCCATCGCGGCCACGAAGAAACTACCACTACGGCAAATCGACGTTGCAAACGCCTTCTTGTACGCACCTGTGGACGCCGAAATCTTCGTCGAACAACCCCACGGATTCATCGACGACCCTTCAAAAGTATGCCAGCTGGAAAAATCCCTTTACGGGATCAAGCAAGCCCCACGGCTCTGGCAGCAGCACCTTCACGGCCGGCTCGTAAAAATCGGATTCCTACAGCTACCACATGACCAAGGCATGTACCGACTACAGAAGGGAAGAGATTACATTCTGCTCATCGTCTACGTCGACGACCTGCTCTACATCGGTTCTACCACCGACATCGTCACCTGGTTCGAAGGGGAGCTGAAAAGGGACCTGACGCTCACGGTGTCCGACGAGGTGACGCAGTACCTAGGACTGAACGTCGTCGAAGACGACACGGCGTTCTACCTACACGCTGGAAAGTACTCAAGCACCGTCGCGAAGAAATTCGGTCTAACACCGACTGCGGTCCCAACTCCCTACCGCTACGGGAACAACAGTAGCGCCTCCACAAAACTCCCCGCGAAACAAATCCAGGAGTATCAACAGAAGCTCGGCTGTCTACTATTCGCAACAGTAACCTGCCGACCCGACCTATCCTATAGTGCGAGCCAGCTGGCGACACATCTGAAGCAGCCGCAACAGGAAGATCTCGAAGAACTCAATCGAGCGCTACTCTACTTCGTCTCCACGCCGACGATCGGGCTCACCTACAGCAAGGCAACAACACCGTCCGTACGACTACTCGGATACGTCGACGCCGACCACGCGGGAGACAGCGAAAATCGACGGTCTAGGACGGGCTACATCTACCGACTAGAACCTATCGGAACTATCTCCTGGCAGTCGAGCAAGCAGGAGTTAATCGCACTATCCTCGGCTGAAGCAGAGTATATCGCCCTTTGTACTGCGACCAAGGAAGGACTCTACCTACGAGAGTTACTCGAAGAAGCGAAGATCGCGACCCTGCCCACCTTCTCACTCCTCTGCGACAACCAATCTGCGATAAAAATCGCGAACAAGGACGGCTTCGCCAACCGAACCAAGCACATCGCCCTGCGGTACTTCTTCGTCAAGGATGAAATCGCGAAGGGGAGACTTCAACTCAGTTACTGCCCGACGACAGAAATGGCCGCAGATTATCTGACGAAGAAATTGGCGAAAGCAAAATTCGACTACTGCATGCTCCTAACCGGGCAAACAAACGTCACCGGATCTGAACACTCCAGCACTCCAGAAACGAAGGGGAGTGTTGGAAATATCTCAAGGACTTAAGCGTTTCTGAAGTGTAACACTGTACTCGAGGAAGATTACAGGGGAGCACGCGAGTCAACGGAGGTTACACGAGGGGGCGGACAAAGAATGCGAAAGGACTCGAAAGGTCGCAACTGGAGGTTGCGACTGACCGTTACAACATCACGGATGGTAACCGAAGCGGCAATCGAGTCGCTGTGCGACTCGATAAACCGTTCCTGTAACTGTATTCTACAACTGCTTCCTTATCTTCTATATATTGCTGTATGCTTGTTTCTTTAATCAATCACCTGTTCTCACATACTAGTACAAGGGTTCATCTGCCTCAACTTCCGCTGCACTACTCCAAGTCTCAAGTCTTTACAGCTGGGACTTAATCTCTGCAAAAGATCCTAAAGGGTTTTTCTCAGCCCAACAAGCAAAAAATGCATAGGTATGAAGGCTTCTCTCCATAGTACACCCTTTCATCCACAAAAGAATTCCCGGTAAACAGCATCAAGTGAGGGGTCGGCTTCCATCATGCGCCGCAGCAGCAGCTGCTGGGCCTCCCGTGTGCTCAGCTTCCAGGGGTGCAGGGCCGGTATGTCCGTGGAGTAGGAGGCATTGGTGTGGTTCCTCCCGTCGTCCCACAGATACTTCATGCGGTCGAGCACCGGGTCCCACTCTGGGAAGGGCTCCACACACAGCAGCAAGTTGCCGATGGCCACCTGGAGTGGGATGGACAAGGCGAGAACCGCGCATGGCAAGGCAGCATGATGAAGCGCGCTGAGGAAGGACTCACACACTGCTGCATGTTGTTGGAGTTGGGAGACACAGGATGAGAAACATGGCAGAAGGAGTGCATGGGCAGCAAAACTATGCCATGTGCAGCTGGAAGCCCACCTTCATTTGGATTGCTCGAATAGACATCTTGATCGTGGTAGGACAAGTATGTCGTAGCAGTGTAGAACATTCTAGTTGGGTTGGAAAAAACTCATGGTGTATCCCCTTTGTAGCTAGCCACCTCCCAAACTCTTCAGGTCGGGATCCTCTCTTGTGCAACACTCACTTCGGATTTGATTGCTCCTAAATCCTACAAAGCCATTCCACGACTAATATAGCTTCCGATAATTTCTTAGAACATTAAAATACGTTACTCACTTTGAAGCGCCTCTCACTTCAAAGTGCCACTCATACGCATCTAGGAGCACACAGGTGTCACCTCAGTATGCACTTTGCTGAACGCCAGTAGCAGCTACTTGGAGACAGGAGGCACATGGCACATGGCACATGGCACATACACCAGATCTGCATGGCACGAATCTGACATCCTGAAGCTATTCAGCAATATTCGACTCTCAAATATTCGCAAGTTCCGAATATTCGACACTCAAATATTCGATATTCGGGAAAATATTCGTATTCTTGTGAGCCATACCATTCATCTCCCCCAATTCCCCTTTCCTCTCAAAATCAGCAGCGCAGTATAAGCGAAATCGGTGAAACCTGAAGGTCGCGCAATTGGCTGATTGCGGCCTCCATAAAACCAATCAATCGTGGACAAAAATGAAAACAGGATTCTTGAGCGTGACATGTTGTTCCATAAATAACCCGCCAGAATCACAGCTAATTCGACGATATGCCAGGAGTGGAAGTGATTGGGGAAGGGGGTAATAGACTATCAAGGTTAGAGGGGCTAATTCTATCTCGGTCTTCAGTGGGAAGCCCTAGAAGACACCCGAAACCCTGTTCTGACCACCTATTCGTATTCGATTCTGTATTCGTCGCAAAACATTTTTTTCGAACCGTATTTGTATTCGAATAGGAAGTGGTATTCGATCAAATACGAAAACACACAAGAATTCGACAAATACTGTTATTTTCCTGCCGTATTCGATACCGTATTCGTTTTTGCAGGCTTACCCACGTCTCACCTCAGAGTGCTGCAAACGCACCTATAGAAGCTCCAAGGTCTCACCTCAGAGTGCACTTTGCTGAACGCTGGTAGCAACTGAGAGGAGATGAGCGGAGCATGGCGCATGGGGATGTACACCAGGTCCGCTATCCTCTTGGTGTACATCCTCTTGTGCGGCAGTGTTGCCTCCTTGAACCGGTGCCGCATGGGCGGCGCCAGGCTGGCGATCGCTGCCTGCACTTCCTGTCTTATTGCGAGGTCGCGGGTCCAGTCGGGCGTGTTGGGGATGGAAGGGCCCGAAGGGGAGAATGACACCCAGCGGTACGTGAGGGCTGGGTTGTTGGGGAACCAGATACGCGACTGACAGGGGGGGAGAGAGCGGGCGGGGAAAGGGGGGCGGGGGAAGGGGGGCAGGGGGGGGGAGGTTGGGCGGGACACTAATGAGTTTACTAAAAAAGGACGGGGGGAACAGGGGAGGAGAGAGCGGGGGGACGGGGGGAGACTTTCGAGTTTACTCAAAAGGACGACTGAGAGGGGGGGAAGAAATGGGGGAGGGGGAAGGGGAGGAGGGAGGAGAGGGGTTTGGAAGACGGGGGGTGGAGGGAAGGAGGAGAGCAGAGGGAGAGGATATAAGGGGGAGGAGTAAGGGGGCCAAGAAAGGGAAAGGCTGTGGGAATTGTAGCGTGAGCGGGAGGGAGAGGGGTCAATGGTGGGAAACTACCAGTGGAGATTAATAGGCCAACGATGGCGGTATTGCCACTTACTAGTGAAGCATAGCGTTTTCAAACCCCCAGCTTCAGTGCTCTCTCTGATAGCGATTAAGCCCCTAAGCCCCCCCCCCCCCTCCCTGATCCCCGCCAACCTCAGCCCTTCAACCATCAACCAGAAACGCTCCCTGCGTTTTTGGAAACAAACCCCACACACCTTGTTCCCTGCAGCAAGGTTCCAGTAGTTGAGGATGACGTCATCGTTGGACCAGAGCACCCCTGCAGCGGTGGGGTAGCGCTCAAACACGTCCGCCAGCGTCGCGTGCGCCACGTACCACGGCGTGCGCTCCCTGCTGCCACTGCCGCTGCTGCTGTTCCCATCCGCATTGCCACTGGCACTGGCCATCCCTGGCACGCTGCGCAGCTGAATGCTTCCCAATGGGGCATGGCCGGGGAGGGGGGGGCGGGATGGGAGGCCGCACATGAGCATGGTGTAATATTTGAGCCCACTCACAAACCCAGGTTGGGCGGGATAGGAGAATGGAGATGCTATGCAGATGTGTAGGCTACAACATGCTGCTGCTGCTGCTGCTGCTATAGTGACAAGAGCCATTCCACCACCAGCACGCCTCGCTCTCACCTGCAGCACGCCCAGCTCGGGAATGGCCTGGTCGGAGTACACCACAATGTCGTGGAACACGCGCCCGTACACGCGCCTTAGCAGCGCCACCGACGCGTTCACCAGCGGCGCGCGGTTGTACAGAATCGCCAACACCACGCCCGCCAGCTGCTCCCGCCATACGCTCACGTTCGCGGGGGGGGCGGGGGAGGGCGCGTTCGGGGAGCTTGGGGGGGAGGCGCAGCAGAGGGGATCCGGGTGCGCGCAGGGCGGGGGAGGGCTGCGCGCGGCGCAGGGGGAGGTGGGGAATGGGGAGGGCTGGAGTGGGAGGGGTGGGGGGAAGGGGAGATGGCGTGGGGGAAGCAAGGAAGTGAGATGAGAACGGAGGGGTAGTGGGGGGGCGGACGGGAGGCAAGGATGAAATGGGGGGAGGGGATGGCGGGGGGGCGGGGGGGGGGGGGGGGGGGGGGGGGGGGGGGGGGGGGTGGGGGAAGGGGGCGGGGGGCCTATATGCAGCGTATGGGGAGCGACAATGTGGGAATGGCGACGCAGCGGCGCACCTGGAGAGGGTCACAGTCGCGCGGAGCGCCGCGGAAGAGCAAGCGCGAGAAGGACTCGTTGAGAGAAGGGAACAGGGGGCCGGCCGGCAGGAAGAGGTAGGCGAGCAGCAGCACGAGAGTCAGGCAGCAGCCCCCCGCCACCGTGACGCTGCCGTGCAGCTGGCGCGACGCCGCGATCCCCGCCGGAAAAGACGCCGACTTAGGGGGGCTTTTGAGAGAGGGCGAGTGGTGGGAAGGCGAAACTGCGTGTGCCCCCGCCTTGACATGAAGAATATCGGCGTTGTTGTCGGGATTATGATTGTGATTGTGATCGGGATGACGAGGGTGCTGCCATCTGAGGACGGGCTGCCGCCACCACTCCAATGATCGCACGCCGCGTGGTGAACCCTTCGCAGCGAACGTCACGCCGACCATGTGCCCGTGGGAATAATAATAGAGAACTTGTATCGGGCGCTTGGGAACAGATCTCAGAGGGAAAATGCCCTCGTAGATTCATTTCAGACTGCTAATGTGACCGTAGGAGAAATACATTATGAAACAGGAGCTACCACAGGCAGCGAGCAGAAGAGGTTGCTACAGATGGTGGTAAGGTGAACCATTCGAGGGTGCTGTCGAGGACCTGCCACACATCTCGTGCTCCTTCGCCTCCTCCCAAGTTCATTTCGTGCTCAAGGGAGCGTTCCAAACTTCTAACCGTGTGACACCGGTCAAGAACGAACAAGCAATGCCAGCTTCAAGTTCCTACTGCGAGTCAAGATTAATGACAAGTTTGTGGATGGCTCTGAATGCTACAATCATTACTTCTGCTTAAAGCCCAGGTCCCAAGCTACAAGCCGCGAAAAGGGAGCGCGGCTTGGGTTGCGGCTAGTGGCTTGCGATTGGCTGCGGGAATGGCGAGAGCTCAAAGTCTGGAAATTGGTTTGCGAAACTCGCAAATGCAAATTTAGAAGTTCGCTAACCAAAACTCAAACGAGGTTGGGGAAGGAAAACAAGTGAAGCACAACAGATGGTCGACTGCAACACAGCAGCACACAAACTAAGCTAACGTGCCCCAGCATCAACCAGCCACAACACAGCGGCAAACACGCAGAAGGCATTTCCGCAGCCCATACGCATGCAATATCGAGACTTATGGTAGCGTGGTCTTCTTTCTTTGCCAGCAACTCTGAGTAGGCTCGCACCAAGTCCATTTCTCGGTGGATATCAATAATTTATCGCGCGCTGGCCTTCTATCGGTGGATATCTTTCGCGCGGGTCTGATATCGGTGGATCTGGGCCTTAACGAACAAAACCCTCGTAGATTCGTTTCAGAATGCTGGAGTGACTGTAGTAAAAACAGGTACAACTGGCAGGGAGCAGAAGTGGTTGCTACTAACGGGAAATTTTATTATAAGTCACTGTTTTCACCTCTCTAACACACCAAGTCACCCTCGTCATGAGTGCGAGCACAATTTCCAAAAAAAAAAAAAAAAAAACAAACAAACAAACAAAAAACGCAGCGCGTCACTCCGAAACATTTGAGGTCATCCCTTCTAGCAATTTCTAAGACGATAGGTCACTCGCCGGAAACACCGTTGGTTTTCCGCACGAACGAGGGCAGAAATTGGGTCGCTCAGTATTAGGGGCCTCGATAACATGTACGGTTAGTGACACGATATAAACAATCAGAATTAGCGAGTTCGCAACGTATTTCATCAGTCAGATTCCACCGTTAGTCAGAAACTGCATGAAAAAGGCTCCACTAATGGTCAGTAGAAGTAACACCCGCCGGTCTCCGAACGTTTTCCCGCTCGCACCAGCCCAATTTCGCGATCATTGTGGCTGGCGCGATGATTTTCCCAAGCTCCAGGCGCAGTACGAGAGAACTACGTAAAGTATTCCCAAATTAAAATCATTGGACGTCGCGCACACAAAATTCCAAAATTGAGACCTTGCGTATTTATGTCACATAAGCTAATTGGGCCATAGCGGACCGCACATTGGGTGCGACATTTTTCAAATATTAACAAACACAAAAAAAAAACATTTGATACGAAAGTGAAAATCTATCAGGGATCGGCGCTAAGCCAATGAGGCGAGGCGTGGACATTAAACTGTAATGCGCGTGCGCTTATTTGTTTCGAGCATGACAAAACATATAGATTCGTAATTTTGGAGGAAAACTTTTTCGGTAAATACATTTATTGAAAAAAATCAAAAGACAACCGACATACTTCTAATAGATTTTGTATTGAAATTAACACAAAATTAAATGCGGTTTTGAGAGTACCTGGATGTGCTTTTTAACATATTCATTTCCCAAAAATATACCCTTGTAGCTATCTAAATATTTTATTGTTTTCAGTCGACTCCGGAATGACAACAAGTTTATGGCTTGGTTTTTTTTTTTTTTGCCGTAAATGTGGTAGAGACAAAGCTGCCATTTTTAGTCATCGCGAGACGCGCTACCCTTTGTGACGAAAGTATGTGCTTTGAAACAAAATCGTGTTTTCGTGTTTCTCGAACAACAAATTTCCAATGAATATTAATTTGGGCATTTAGCATTTTTTTCGCTCGAACTGCGCCTAGAGCTTGGGAAAAATATTGCGCCAGCCACAATGATGACGAAATTAGGCTGGCGCGGGTGGGAAAACGTTCCGAGACGGGCGGGGTTACTACTACTGACCATTTGTAGAATTGTTTTTTCATGCAGTTTCTGACTAACGGTGGAATCTGACTGATGAGTCATATTACGAACTCGCTAATTCCGTTTTTTTATATCGTGTCACTGGCCGTACATGTTATCGAGGCCCCTAATACTGCACATACTTTCCCGTCCAAATTTGTTATAGAACGACAAAGATTGTGACGCTATCAGTGTTTACTAGTATGATAACATGTTGAGACGTATATTACACAACACCATCAACCAAGCAGCACATAAATAGGAAAAATATTACGCATTATTTCTTCTTAATCCAAGGTCAAACATTCCTTAATTCATACGGGTTTCCAGTTCTGTGTCGATATTCGATATAAGGCTGTCCCATCAATGTATACAACAAAAAGTACAACAAAAGACCATGAAATATGTGCTAAAAGTTACTGGGTAACTGATGTGGTGCATGGTAATTCATATAGCGTAATATACGTCTCAGCAATCTATTAATAGAATAAACGCTGATAGCATCACATAATCTCTGCCGTTATAAAACAATCTTGGGCCCTCGCTCGGAAAACAAATGGCGTATGAAAATAACAAATATCGATGAGGTTCGGATTTGAAGATCTTGATATTAAGAAATGCGTGCGCGAGAAAGATGAATGAAACATTTGGTGTTCGGGTGGGAGGGAGGGGGGGGGGAGGGGGTTTCCGCGAGTGACCTCTCTCGTGTTAGAAATTGCCTGAAGGTGTGACCTCCCATGCTTTCACACTGACGCGTTGCGGTTTTTCTTCGGAAAAAGTGCTCGTACGCGTGACGAGGGTGACCAGGTGTGTTAGAGAGGTGAAAACAATGACCTGTACTATAATTTCCCTGCTACTAACGGTGGTAGGGGGCATGTGAAGTTTGGCAGCGACTGCGTTCCCCCCAGTTCCTCCGTTCATTCTGCTCCATGATTATTTTTTTCCCCGCTGTTATGAAATATTAAACGTCTACCTGAACACTCCAAAACCCTGTGTCTTTTCAAAAATTCAATCGTTTTGCAAATCTCGTCAACACGAAATCACGCCGCCTTATCACCCTCGTCGTTTTCTGCTGCTGGATCTCATACAGGGGGAGTGATCCAAGTGAACTCCGTGGCGATGAAACGAGCAGTTGCACTGGAAGCAGAAGTCTTCGATGTAGTCGTTCGCACCGTCAACGTGGCATCGCAACCGTCCGATTTAGAGAAGCTGACAGCAGCAGTACCGACTGATTTAGCGCAGCTGATTCGCAGATTGCCGCAGATATTTCCAGACGACCTGCCTAAGGGACTACCATGGGAACGACCCTTCGACCATCGAATAGAATTAGAACCAGGGACACAGCCCACAGTGCAGAGATCTCAACCCGGATATTTTTCCCCACTAGTCACGACTACTTTGACTGCTGCACCGCTCAGAGACCTACGGATCCTAGCGTGATTCTAATAGTGCAAGGATGCACTGCCAACCGTGCTATGTTACCCTAAGTTTCGTGGCAGATACGCAATTTTTCGCCACCCTGCTCGTAATTTTTACCTACAACGGTATGATGAAGACGATCCATGATAAGACGAGACCAATCGACTAATGGCATCTTTGGCCACACCTCAGCATGGCTAGTCTTAGAGATAGCATTCAACATGAAATCGTGCACAGTACTCTTGCATATGTTCAAATACTTTGCGATTTTCCTAGTGCTCACCCCCTTATGCAAAAGCGTGGGTCCAGGAAGAGTGCGAGAAGATCCCTGTAAAGGTTTGCACTAACCTCGTAGATAACATACCTAGGAGGGTGTATGTGGTGATCAAGGCCAAGTGTTAGTTGACTAGGTACTGGTTTTGCTAGTAGCTAGTAACTAGTTTGCTGCCTGTCCCCGGTACAAATTGTTCGGATGTGCTGTTATTCAATGTTGTCGTCTTGAAGGACCATGAAATATACTACTCTGGTTTTAGGAGATTTGAGTGAGTGCTCTAACTGCTCCTCTCTACGTGTATGGCCACCATGAATTAAGGCTTAATGTTTATAGCGTACAGCTCGTCAAAATGTGAAAATATGCTAAACATGTGGACAATTGTTTCCGCCACTGTATGCCTTTCGGTCTGACGAACGCCCCGTCCACGTTTCAGATGACCATGAACCAGATCTTCAGTTCGGTCATAGATAAGTGTGTTTATACTGATCTACTGATCTACAGTGAGACCAGGGAGCAACACTTAAAGGACCTCGAAGTAGCTACTACAGGAGTATCGGCTCCTCACAAAGGGGTCTACGTGCGAGTTTTTAAAAGACCGCTTAAAATTTCTGGGACACTTTATTTCCACTAAGGGTGTCGAAGTGGATCCGTGCAAAATCGAGTCAATGCAAGCCTGGCTATTGCCCACGAACCTGTAGGAGCTGCAAAGTTTGTTAGGGTTCGTCATTTACGGTATGTTCTGAGATTTATCCCGAATATTGCGAGGGTAACTGCACCGTTAAAGCGAGCTCGTACTGCCTGTCCTCTAGGACGTCACTGCCAAGGGCAGGAGCACCCCCGACGGACGGAGGACGGGCAGGGTCAGAGACCAGAGCGGTAGTGTAGTGAAGGCGGCAGGTAGAGGCGAAGTCAGCGACAGCAGCGACAAGCGCGTCAAGGCGTGAGACAGGAACAGAAGGGTCGGTAAGGGACAGGACAGGAACAGAAGGGACAGGACAGGACAGGAACAAGAGAGGCAAGAACCCGAGGGACAAAAGGACGAGCGGCACAGAGGTAGTCAGAGAACGGAGGAGGTGCAACAGCAAGCGACGAGGGAGGAGGTGACGGGAGAAGGGGAGGACGAGACGAGAGGGAACGGAGCAACATAGGGTGGGAGCGCAGGACAGGAGAGGCGGGACGGGCACGTGAGGGACGACGAGACCAAACGTGGGATAGAGATGTAG